TTGGAAGGGTTTGGTGGTCCCCTGCTCTCAGCCCAGTGCCTGGCACAGGATAGGTGCTCCATACACACGGACCGAATATGTGAATGTGTGCAGGACACAGAGCCCAGGAGCAGCTGGCTAGAGGGGCTGCTGGCTGACAGGTGGCAGGAGGCACAGACCTCCAGGGAGCGGGGACAGTGCCTGGGTCCCAGCCAGCCCTATGCTCCCTTTGTGTGTCATTAGGTGGCTCTTTAAAGAGCCACTTGCAGGAACAAAAGCTGTCTCTGGCAGCACCTCAGTGGGTGGGCTGGGCCTCCTGCTCCCCTTCTGAAATGCTTTGAGAATAGGTGGACTGAGCCCACTTGTCACCCCTAGGCTGGCTGGTGACTCTTGAGAGAGGGGGCAGTCACAGCAGTGGGGGCCAGGGGAGGCAGGGTGATTGGTGGACCCAGCCCTGACCTCACTAAGATTATTTTTAAAGCCTGCAAGAGAAAGGGGATATTTTTAACCTTTGTTCCATCAAGGCATCCCAAGGGAAAAAGAAGGGGGAAGGGGGGAGATGGGGAGCTGGAGAGGGGCACAGGAGCAGGGCCAGGGACTTCTGAGGGAGGGGAAGCAGCCCCAGAGGCCCCCGAGGACTAGCTTTTTTGTCCCCAGCCCTTTTAAATTTTTTAAAAGCTCCAAACAGCAAGAGGGACAGTGGAGTTCATTATATCGAGTTATCTCCTCCGTTTCAGGCAAAGATCAATCTTCTGAGTCTTGCAGCTCCAAGGGGGGAAGGGAAAAGAAAGAAAATGGGAGGCAAAAGGAAAAAACTCCCTGGACCAATTTCTGCTGCAAACACAATTACTGGGCTTCCTGGCAGCGGCGCCAGCTGTTGGCAGGCGTCCTGGCCCCCCGCCAGTCACACTCAGGTGCCAGTCGCCCCCAAGGCTCCCTCCTGAATGGGACAGGTTGGCAGGTGTGAGAGCCCCAGATCCCCTGGGGTTGAGGCTGCTGGGCCTGGCTGCCCAGGGAGGCCAAGGCCCCACTGCTGTCCAGCGTGAGCTGCTGCTCCAGTTCGGGCCTCAGCCTTGCTCCCACCTCCTTGCCTTTGTGGCATGTCTTGTGGGCGCGCCCTCTGGCTCCTGCCTGCTTCTTCGTATGGGAGGCAGTTCATGTAGGGAGTAAGAACACAGGCTTTGGAGCCTGGTAGAGCTGGCTGTGCAGCCTTCCTTCCTTCCTTCCTTCCTTCCTTCCTTCCTTCCTTCCTTCCTTCCTTCCTTCCTTCCTTCCCTCCCTCCCTCCCTCCCTCCCTCCCTCCCTCCCTCTGTCTTCTGGGTGAATCCAGAGGTGGCTGTGGGCCCTTCCTGCCTTATGGAGTTCATGTTGTGATGAGGCACACAAGAAACAAGGCCACACATAAATAGGCAAGATAATGTCAGGCGGGGGAAACGCTAAGAAAATTGGGAGAGATTGGGGTCCATGGTGGGCATCTTCCCTAGGGTGCCTGGGATGGTAAGAGGGCTCATTTGGATGGGATGGTAAAAAAGGCCTGGGGAAGAACCTTCAGCAGAAGGAGCAAGAGGGGCGAAGACCCTGAGACTGGCCAGTGTGGGAGGGAGGCCGATTGTGGTGAAAGATGATTTCTGAGAGGTGGGCAGGGCCTCAGAGGCTTTGGAGAGAGTTTGAACTTGAGTCTGTGTCACGGGCTTATGGCAGGGTAGCCTCGGGGCCTGATTCTCACCACCATGGAGCTGCTGTGATAGTTTGGGGCCGGGGTGGAGGCAAAGAGCTAAGTGAGGGTGGAGGCTGTTTCAGTAATTCAGGCAAGAGCCGGCCAGGGCAGGCAGAGGAGCAGGGGGAAGCAGTCAGGTTCTGGGTGTGTTCTGGGGTAGACCTGACAGGGTGTGTTGATGGCTTGGGTGTGGGTTGAGGGAGAGAGAGAGAGAAGTCGAGGCGGAGGGAGACATAATTTGGGGATGAAAATGAAGAGTTCTGTTTTGGACAGGTGGGTTAGATGAGCAAGCAGAGGTGACAAATAGGCCTCTGAACACGAGCTGGTGCCCAGGAGGGGGCTGAGGCTGGCGAGAGGGACCTGGGGGCACAGCAGGGGCTGAAAGCTAAGGAGTGTGCAGCTGGGATGGGATGGAGAGGGGGCCTTGGAGAGCCCTGGGGCCTCGTATGCTTGGGGGGAAGTTAGGTAATGGGAGAGATGTGTAAAGGACACCCAGGTGAGGCCGAGTCCTGGAAACTTAGAGATAAAATGTCTCCTGATGAAGAAAGCAGTCAGCCATGTCGGATGCTGCCGAGAGTGCAGGGACCGTGGGGGACCGAGAATGACTATTGGGCTTGGCAAAACTGAGGTTTCTGGGGGACCTTGATGAGAGCAGTTTTGTGGAGTGGTGGGGACAGATGCCCAACTGGAGAGGGAACCGGAAGTGAGGGCATGGAGACAGTCGAGACAGCTCTTGAGTTTTGCTATTAAAGGGAAGCAGACAAACGGTAGGGATGTGAGGCCAAGCAGTTTCCTGCCCGCCCTCCCTCTTCCTCTCCCTCCTTCCTTCCCTTCCTCCCTTCCTCCTTTCTTCCCTCCTCGCTCTTCTCTTTTATAATATTGAGGCAAATTGCTGTGCTCTGTGACTTTGGGCAGGCAGTGTAACCTCTCTGAGCCAGTCTGCTTTTCTGCAGAATGGAGGTGACACCCCAGATGTTACTGGATCTGATGCGCAGCCGGTGCCGAGTAAGCAGGAATGGTTCTGAAGCAGGGCTCACATGGGGAAATGGATCGGTACAGATGTTTTGGAGGTCAACTTGGCAGCACGTACCTACATGTAAAATATGTATACCTTTTGATCTATCCTTTAGGAATGCACCCAGAGAAATACTTGCACATGTATGCAGTGAGACAAGGTGTTTTTTTCCAGCTATGTTTGAAATAAAAAACTGGAAACACATGAGCCACATGTGACCTCAGGAGGGAGGATTTGAGGTTCAGCCCTGTGTGTCCAGGGGCCGGAGAACTGTGACTTCTGCTGCAGACAGGCTTGGATAGGTTGCGGCTGCACTCAGTCTTTGTGTCCCCCAGGGTGGTGCAGGTGCCTGAATCCCAGCCTGCTGTAGCCCGGACCCTTGCTTTACTCGTCCTTGGGGGTCTGGTTAAACAGGCGAGGGGATACCCCACGTGGCATGCCTCAGTGCAGCACCACGAGAGCTCAACTGTGACTGTCTGTTAGGAGAACATGCTGGAGCTTCACAGCCTGGGTCCAAATTTTGGCTCCACCGTGCCCCGGCTGCACGCTCAGATGGCTTACTGGTCACCACTCTACTCTGTACTTCAGTTTTCCTTTCTTTCTTTTGGTTTTTCTTTTTTAGAGATAGAGTCTTATTCTGTCACCCAGGCTGAGTGCAGTGGCATGATCATAGCTCACTGTAGACTCCACCTCCTGGGCTCAAGTGATCCTCCTGCCTCAGTCTCTTGAGTAACTTGGGACCACAGGCTCACACCACCATGCCCAGCTAATTTTTTTAATTCCTTTTTTTTTTTTTTTTTTTGGCAGAGACAGGGTCTTGGTATGTTGCTCAGGCTGGTCTTGAACTCCTGGGTCCAAGCTATCTCCCATTTCAGCCTCCCAAAGATCTGGGATTACACATGTGCGCCACCATGCCTGGCCCACTTCAGTTTCTCATCTACAAAATGAGGATCAAAACAGCACCCGCTTAGGGAGTTGGTAAGAGGATTAGGTGGGTTAAGAGGTACAGCACTCATCCCAGTGTCTGGCACAGAGTAAGTGCTCAGTGAGCACGAGTGTGGTTATTGCTCTGTATGAACAGGGAAAGGTCTCAAACATCTGTGAGGTGAGGAAGGCAGGGGCACACAAGCACAGAGGCTGTGCTCCCTGGCATATACCCCCACGTCCGTGTGCACCTCTACACATGCACAGTTGAAGCTTCACACCAAAGGGATGGCAGTCAGTACCTCTGGAGAGGTGACTGGGAAAGAAAGTGTGCTTACTGTACAGACTACTGCATTTGAGCCTCTTAAAAAGAGAATGCTTTTGTGTGCTATTTGCATAGTAAGACTGTAATATGTCAAGGCGGTCATTTAGGTCTTCACCGCCTTTAGGAAGCCTTCGGTGACTGCACCAGCCACAGCCCGCCCCTGATGGATTTCCTTAGTGTTAAGAAGCCACATTTCCTCCTTTGGCCACTGCAAGTCAGATGTGTGTGCACGTGTGTGTGTGTGCGCGCATGCGAGTAGCCTCCCATTTGGCCTGTCAACTCCTTGAGGGTATGGGCTTTGCACTTTCCAGGCTGGACACACCTTCAAGGCCAGCAGTTCTCAAGGTGTGATCCCCTGCCGGCAGCATCAGCATCAGCTGGGAGCTTGCTGGGAATGCAGATCCTCAGGCTCCCACCCCCCGGGACCTACTGATGGAAACTCTTGGGGTGAAGCCCAGCAGTCTGTGTTTGTGCAGGTCCCAGCATGCACCTGCCTGTACTGATGGGAGACACGGTGAGGGTTGCAGGGTGAGCCAGTGACAAAGCTGAGACTGGGCCCAGGTAAAGGCCTCAGGCAGATGTGGAAAGGAGGCCCAGGGTACTCCCTTGCCGTCAGCTTCTCTGTGCTCCTTGGGCCCATGAGCCACATGTGGCCTCAGGAGGGAGGATTTGAGGTTCCATGTGTGTTCAGGGGCCAGAGAACTGTGACTTCCACTGCAGACAGGCTTGGATAGGTGGTGGCTGCACTGCTACTCTAGTCTGTGTGTCCCCTGGGGCACTGTGGGTACCTGAATCCCAGCCTGCTGTAGCCCAGGCCCTTGCTTTACTGAAAGTGAGGTCTTGACTCTGGAATGAATATGGCATTTTTAGGCAGCCCGCAGGCTTCCGGAGGGCAGGGTCCAGATCTCCTCCTGCTCTATCTGGCCCAGAGCATCGGGAAGCCCAGGCTTGGCAGAGACTTGGGTGGGGTTGACTACAGGATGGGCCTGCAGGCTCCAATCTGACCATCCTCTTACCTCTTCCCTGCTGTCTCTCTGCAGGTATCCCACCAAGGAGACCTGATCTTGAGCCTGGAGCCCCGAACCGATGCTTGAGTGAGTTGAGCAGCCTCTGTCTGCATTGGTGGATGCAGTGGGGCAGAGGGGTGTGTGCAGAGCAGTGGCCCTCTCTCTGCCACCCCTTTCTCCTCTCCCACCTCCTGCAGCCCCCTTTCCCCTCTCCAGCCATGTTCCTGAGGAGGGGCACTGTTAAGTCACTGGGCGAGGTGGCAGGTGGGAAGGTTTGGGAATGAGCTTTTAGGAGAAGGGAGGAAGGTGGCTCCCTGGTCTGATGGGTTAGGGTTATGGGTGCTGGGTGCCCTTGGAGAGCAGCCACTGGGGCCCTGGGGAGTATGGGTGCCTGGCCCAGGCACCAGCCAGCCTTGAACTTGGGGATCCTGGAGGGACCTAATCCAGGCAGACTGCCTGGAGGAGGGGTGCCAATTGTGATTAATTTGTGGTTGATCACCTCTTTTTAAGTGTACAAGAAACCATCTTCATACTTTAATTAGCTCATTAGTCTTAGAACAGCAATGCATGAGAGGGAGCAATTTGTTGCCTTGCCAAGGTGGCGAGGTAGGATTTGGCCTTGGTCTCCACTCCAGGTCCCTGGATCTACCCATCTCTCTCCCTATACTTTGTCTCCCAGTGGTGGGTCACCTGGGAGGAGGGCTATGGTTAGAGGCCATGCCCTTGGCCACCATGTCCTCTGGCCAGGCCCCCAGGGGTCATGGCATGGAGGTGGGTACTGGAGGCTGCATCCATGAAGATGTGTCACAGCCAGCAAGATTGTGAGAGGGCCCTGGGCTGGTCTCTTGGGTTTTGTTTCTGGGGCACGACCATCTTTCCTGGACACGCTCGCTCTCTTCCCTCTTCTCCACATCTGGGCACTGCCAGCTCTCTCTGCTTGGAGTATGACTCCTCTGAGAAGCTACCCCACAGTAACTGTCCTCAGCTGACAGCCCGTGGGTGGCTGAGTGGGCCCTGGCCCCACTGGGTTCACTGAGGACGCCGACCTGGCTGGGGAGCTGTGGGGTGCCCGCTGCACACTCAGAGGGTGTGGAAACAGGCAGGAGGGTCTGCAGACATGGGCTTCAGTGGCAGGGATGCCTTTCGGGGAAGAGCTGGGAAGGGGCAGGCTCCAGTCCAGGAGGCGGGTCACGGCCAGTGGGGAGGGCTGTCAGTCAGCACACCTGGATGCAGCATCTGAGCACCTTCGATTATTTATGACTTGTGGGATGGCCTTGTGAAATCTTTGGAATAAAAGCAGCCTGTGCACTGGATCAGAGCCCTAACGTGCGTGCTGGGGGGCATGGGACCCGGGAAGGAGGCATTATGCAAACCCGGGAGCCGCGGTTACAACAGCGGCATCTGTCCCAATGCAGAGCGGGGAGCCACCAGGCTCTGTGTGCCGCTGGGCCGGCGCAGGGTGTGGCCAGCCTTGGTCAGAGGCTGTGCCTCTGGGGAAGCCACACTCGAGCACTCAGGGGTTCATGCCCACCTACTGGGACCACACACATGAAGGCCGCTTCAGAAGAGACCTCGGTCCAGCCAGCACAGCCCTGCTGGCCTGGGGAAAGGGTCTTGCTTGGATGGGGGCATCTGCTGGGCACCTCCTGCCACCCCATCTTCACCACCAGAGTTTACCAGCCTGACATTTTGTGTGGGCCTGAGATGCAGACCCAAGCTACCGCTAACCTCATTTCTAAAACAGGGGAGCAGAACCCTGGGGGTGGGTGTTAGGCCAGTCCCTAAACAACATCCTATACTTGGGGACTTAATTTTTAGCTTTAAGGTCAGAATGTATCGGCCACAGACACTGCTGTTGGTTTTCACCTCAGTCCGGTGTAGAAGGGAGGCCCTGCTGCTCTTTCTGCCAGCCCTCCCGTCCTGGGCGTTTCTGAGGAGCTGTGGGTAGACCCAGCAGTAAAGCGTAGAGTGCACACCCCAGGTCCTGAGTGAGACTTGGCTTCATGGCTTCTCTGCATCAGTCTCCTCATCTGTAAAATGGGCAGAGGAGTTGTTTCCTCATAGGCGTGCTGGGAAGATTAGATGAGATGAGGCATGAGAAGCTTTACACGTGACCTGGCATGTGGTGAGGGCCTGTCAGTGGAGGTGTTGTGATTGTCACTGCCAGGGTTGGCAGCTGGTGGGGTGGGGAGCAGAGCCAGTTCAGTCTGAACTGGGTGACATTTGGGTTCCTGTATCCAGGCTGCTGTGGTTATGCGGGGGAAGCAGCTCCAGCTTCTTCCCTGCTGTCTCCCTCTGGGTTTCAGTGACTGAGAGCTGCCGGGGTAGTGCTGGACAGGAGGGACCAGGGTGTGCAGTTGGAGAGAGCGTGTCCCTGCTTCAGTGACAGGAGCTCTTGGTCACCAGGGTGGAGGTGGCAGAGAGGGATACAATCTCTGGGCCTGGAGGGAATAAGGAGGCTGCTTTAATGGAGCACAGAGAGGCAGCAGTGGCAATGCTGGGCTTGAGTGGGGAGGCCTGGCACACCGGGATGGTGGCAGGGAGGAGAGCAAGGAGAAGGAACTGGAACAGGCTCTTCACACATGGAACGTCAGTCGTTCTCACGCAGGAGAGGGATGCCATTATCCCCCTTTCCCTATGAAAAATGGAGGCCCACATAGGGAAGCTGAGTTGACCCAAGTCACAGAAGAGGCAGAGCGGGATGGAATCCCGCTTCCCATGTCCTGTGCCCTGGAGGGGCTGAGGGCACCAGGAGCAGCACTGGCTCTAGTGCCAGGCTCTGGCTGTCCCGGGCAGGGGACATTTATGGGCCTGGATGTGCATGGATGTGCATGTGCATTTGTGTGCTGAGTCTCTCCCCGCGTCAGCAAGGAAGCTCTCGGGGAAACTAGGGCAGTGGGGCGGCTCTCTGCCACCTCCCACAGTATTGGCACCTGGGGGCGGCTTCTACATTGGAGCCTGGTGTCTGGGCCCAGCCTGTTCTCCCGCACATGTGCCTCCCATGACTCTGCCCCCACCCTAGCCTGCCTGCCAGGATGGAGAGGGGGGTCCAGGGGGCTGGAAGAAACCCCTGGATAATAAAAATAGTTCTTGGCTAAGGCACTGTATGCCAAGCATGAGTAAACATCATTCTCCTGTTATCCAAGGCCAGAGGGGTGGAGTGACTCACCCAAGGCCACACAGCTAGGTGGTTGTGGGTCAGGATTCTGATCCTAATTGTGGTGGGAGGTCCTGGGGGACCCAGCTCAGGTTTTTCTCAGTGGGCAGTCTCAGGACAGCCCCTCAAGGCTCTGAGGAACCACGACCCTGCCCCTGCTGCCATTTGCCAGCCCTTCTGTGGCCAGGCCTGAGGGAAGCATAGTACACACCTCCTCTTAGCTAAACCTGCCTGCAGGTCCTTCCTGTTCCCACGTTACAGATGTGGAAACTGAGGCTCAAGAGGGCCCCAAGCCACTCTGATGCCAAAGTCTGGCTTTCTTCCCCCTGCCCTGCTGCTCCAGAGTGTCTTCTGATGCCCTCTGCCTGTATCTCCCCTCCCCCCACCTCAGCCCCGTTGGTGCAGTGGCTCAGGCCTGATGCCTGTCTGTGTGGCTGGTGAGAAAGGGAGAGCCTGGACCAGTCTGAATGTAGAGGGATGGGGAGGCAGGGGCAGCCCCAGCACAGATGGGTAGGGGGGCAGGAGCTGGACAATCTCAGTCTCAGAAAGTCATGTGCATCACCTGAGTCCCTGAGGCAGGATGGGTAGCTCCTAAACCTGATTTGTGGCATCAGACAGCATGACATGAGTCCTAGCTCCATTTCTGTACCAGCTCTGTGGCCTTAGACATGTTACTTAAGCTCTCTGGGCCTCAGTTTTCCCATTGGATAAAGGGAAAATGATAGCAGAACCCACATCACAAAGCTGTTAGGGGATAATGGCATATTCAGGTACCGCGCTAGGAATGACACTGGCATGCAGTAGGCACTCAGTACATTTGAGTCCACATCACCAGTGTTATCAGCAGGGCCATGGGACATTCTAGGGTCTTCCTGGCCCTGATGGGCAACTAGATGCCAGAGCCAAGAGGGACAGGGCTGGGGCCTGCTTCCGCCCCCACTGCTTCCCCCACAACACTCTCAACCCTGGACCTCTGAGTATTTCATTCCCCGGGGAGCAGGTGAGTGTGGAGGGGATGGAGGGGATTTGCCATTTTGCACATGAACTATTTTTATACCCATACCTACCTTATTCCAATAAGTGTTTGTGGGAGCTAAGCATTATTGTGATACCAAGGTAGACAACCCAAGACGGGAAAATCGATGCAACAGGAAAGAAAGGCTTGGGGCACATTGGAACATGGACCCATAGGGTTCAGTCTCGGGCTGAATAGTTGGTTCTATGATTCCTGGTAGTCAGAATGAAAAGGGAACTATCAGTTATGAGAATTGTGCTGTCCACAGGAGCACAACAGCGTGGGGTCCGTGAGAAGGAGTAGGTTTCCTGGAGGAGCGGGAGCCATGTCTTTCCAGACGTCTCTGCAGCCCACAGCAGCTCAGAGGGTGGAGAGTGGAGGTCAGATGCCTGGCATGGGTGGGAGGACTGGCCAGCTCCAGGCAGGCGGATCCTCTTCCTGCACAGAGTGATCTGGGGCCCAGGGCAAGGACCACTGGGCCGGAGGGTGGGGTAGGTACTGGGACACAGCCCCTGGTGCTTGTCCTGCTCTGCCACCAGCTCCCAGCCCTCCCACCTCTGGATTCTTCTGTCTAGCTGGGTCTGCACAGGGAGGAGCAAGGGTTAAGCTGGGTTTGCACGTCTGCAGGCCTGGGCCTGGGACCAGCCCTGCTTGCTCTGCTCTCCTCCTCAAGAACCCTCAGTGTCTCCTCGTTGGCTGAGTGTTGGCTGCACCTCCCTGCACCTGGCCTCTGATCTCTTATCCTGAGCCTAGCTTAGCCCCTGGGGCTCCTTTGCACCCCCTTCCCTAGCCCAACTCTGCAAGTGCTCACTGACCTAGATGTGCCTCCATCGTCTCCCCACTGGCACCGAGCTGTCCAAAGGCAGAGTGGAGTCTTCCCAGCTTCCCTCCCAGCACTGGCCAGCCCCCTCTAGT